GGGGGGGGGGGGGGGGGGGGGGGGGGGGGGGGGGGGGGGGGGGGGGGGGGGGGGGGGGGGGGGGGGGGGGGGGGGGGGGGGGGGGGGGGGGGGGGGGGGGGGGGGGGGGGGGGGGGGGGGGGGGGGGGGGGGGGGGGGGGGGGGGGGGGGGGGGGGGGGGGGGGGGGGGGGGGGGGGGGGGGGGGGGGGGGGGGGGGGGGGGGGGGGGGGGGGGGGGGGGGGGGGGGGGGGGGGGGGGGGGGGGGGGGGGGGGGGGGGGGGGGGGGGGGGGGGGGGGGGGGGGGGGGGGGGGGGGGGGGGGGGGGGGGGGGGGGGGGGGGGGGGGGGGGGGGGGGGGGGGGGGGGGGGGGGGGGGGGGGGGGGGGGGGGGGGGGGGGGGGGGGGGGGGGGGGGGGGGGGGGGGGGGGGGGGGGGGGGGGGGGGGGGGGGGGGGGGGGGGGGGGGGGGGGGGGGGGGGGGGGGGGGGGGGGGGGGGGGGGGGGGGGGGGGGGGGGGGGGGGGGGGGGGGGGGGGGGGGGGGGGGGGGGGGGGGGGGGGGGGGGGGGGGGGGGGGGGGGGGGGGGGGGGGGGGGGGGGGGGGGGGGGGGGGGGGGGGGGGGGGGGGGGGGGGGGGGGGGGGGGGGGGGGGGGGGGGGGGGGGGGGGGGGGGGGGGGGGGGGGGGGGGGGGGGGGGGGGGGGGGGGGGGGGGGGGGGGGGGGGGGGGGGGGGGGGGGGGGGGGGGGGGGGGGGGGGGGGGGGGGGGGGGGGGGGGGGGGGGGGGGGGGGGGGGGGGGGGGGGGGGGGGGGGGGGGGGGGGGGGGGGGGGGGGGGGGGGGGGGGGGGGGGGGGGGGGGGGGGGGGGGGGGGGGGGGGGGGGGGGGGGGGGGGGGGGGGGGGGGGGGGGGGGGGGGGGGGGGGGGGGGGGGGGGGGGGGGGGGGGGGGGGGGGGGGGGGGGGGGGGGGGGGGGGGGGGGGGGGGGGGGGGGGGGGGGGGGGGGGGGGGGGGGGGGGGGGGGGGGGGGGGGGGGGGGGGGGGGGGGGGGGGGGGGGGGGGGGGGGGGGGGGGGGGGGGGGGGGGGGGGGGGGGGGGGGGGGGGGGGGGGGGGGGGGGGGGGGGGGGGGGGGGGGGGGGGGGGGGGGGGGGGGGGGGGGGGGGGGGGGGGGGGGGGGGGGGGGGGGGGGGGGGGGGGGGGGGGGGGGGGGGGGGGGGGGGGGGGGGGGGGGGGGGGGGGGGGGGGGGGGGGGGGGGGGGGGGGGGGGGGGGGGGGGGGGGGGGGGGGGGGGGGGGGGGGGGGGGGGGGGGGGGGGGGGGGGGGGGGGGGGGGGGGGGGGGGGGGGGGGGGGGGGGGGGGGGGGGGGGGGGGGGGGGGGGGGGGGGGGGGGGGGGTGGGGGGGGGGGGGGGGGGGGGGGGGGGGGGGGGGGGGGGGGGGGGGGGGGGGGGGGGGGGGGGGGGGGGGGGGGGGGGGGGGGGGGGGGGGGGGGGGGGGGGGGGGGGGGGGGGGGGGGGGGGGGGGGGGGGGGGGGGGGGGGGGGGGGGGGGGGGGGGGGGGGGGGGGGGGGGGGGGGGGGGGGGGGGGGGGGGGGGGGGGGGGGGGGGGGGGGGGGGGGGGGGGGGGGGGGGGGGGGGGGGGGGGGGGGGGGGGGGGGGGGGGGGGGGGGGGGGGGGGGGGGGGGGGGGGGGGGGGGGGGGGGGGGGGGGGGGGGGGGGGGGGGGGGGGGGGGGGGGGGGGGGGGGGGGGGGGGGGGGGGGGGGGGGGGGGGGGGGGGGGGGGGGGGGGGGGGGGGGGGGGGGGGGGGGGGGGGGGGGGGGGGGGGGGGGGGGGGGGGGGGGGGGGGGGGGGGGGGGGGGGGGGGGGGGGGGGGGGGGGGGGGGGGGGGGGGGGGGGGGGGGGGGGGGGGGGGGGGGGGGGGGGGGGGGGGGGGGGGGGGGGGGGGGGGGGGGGGGGGGGGGGGGGGGGGGGGGGGGGGGGGGGGGGGGGGGGGGGGGGGGGGGGGGGGGGGGGGGGGGGGGGGGGGGGGGGGGGGGGGGGGGGGGGGGGGGGGGGGGGGGGGGGGGGGGGGGGGGGGGGGGGGGGGGGGGGGGGGGGGGGGGGGGGGGGGGGGGGGGGGGGGGGGGGGGGGGGGGGGGGGGGGGGGGGGGGGGGGGGGGGGGGGGGGGGGGGGGGGGGGGGGGGGGGGGGGGGGGGGGGGGGGGGGGGGGGGGGGGGGGGGGGGGGGGGGGGGGGGGGGGGGGGGGGGGGGGGGGGGGGGGGGGGGGGGGGGGGGGGGGGGGGGGGGGGGGGGGGGGGGGGGGGGGGGGGGGGGGGGGGGGGGGGGGGGGGGGGGGGGGGGGGGGGGGGGGGGGGGGGGGGGGGGGGGGGGGGGGGGGGGGGGGGGGGGGGGGGGGGGGGGGGGGGGGGGGGGGGGGGGGGGGGGGGGGGGGGGGGGGGGGGGGGGGGGGGGGGGGGGGGGGGGGGGGGGGGGGGGGGGGGGGGGGGGGGGGGGGGGGGGGGGGGGGGGGGGGGGGGGGGGGGGGGGGGGGGGGGGGGGGGGGGGGGGGGGGGGGGGGGGGGGGGGGGGGGGGGGGGGGGGGGGGGGGGGGGGGGGGGGGGGGGGGGGGGGGGGGGGGGGGGGGGGGGGGGGGGGGGGGGGGGGGGGGGGGGGGGGGGGGGGGGGGGGGGGGGGGGGGGGGGGGGGGGGGGGGGGGGGGGGGGGGGGGGGGGGGGGGGGGGGGGGGGGGGGGGGGGGGGGGGGGGGGGGGGGGGGGGGGGGGGGGGGGGGGGGGGGGGGGGGGGGGGGGGGGGGGGGGGGGGGGGGGGGGGGGGGGGGGGGGGGGGGGGGGGGGGGGGGGGGGGGGGGGGGGGGGGGGGGGGGGGGGGGGGGGGGGGGGGGGGGGGGGGGGGGGGGGGGGGGGGGGGGGGGGGGGGGGGGGGGGGGGGGGGGGGGGGGGGGGGGGGGGGGGGGGGGGGGGGGGGGGGGGGGGGGGGGGGGGGGGGGGGGGGGGGGGGGGGGGGGGGGGGGGGGGGGGGGGGGGGGGGGGGGGGGGGGGGGGGGGGGGGGGGGGGGGGGGGGGGGGGGGGGGGGGGGGGGGGGGGGGGGGGGGGGGGGGGGGGGGGGGGGGGGGGGGGGGGGGGGGGGGGGGGGGGGGGGGGGGGGGGGGGGGGGGGGGGGGGGGGGGGGGGGGGGGGGGGGGGGGGGGGGGGGGGGGGGGGGGGGGGGGGGGGGGGGGGGGGGGGGGGGGGGGGGGGGGGGGGGGGGGGGGGGGGGGGGGGGGGGGGGGGGGGGGGGGGGGGGGGGGGGGGGGGGGGGGGGGGGGGGGGGGGGGGGGGGGGGGGGGGGGGGGGGGGGGGGGGGGGGGGGGGGGGGGGGGGGGGGGGGGGGGGGGGGGGGGGGGGGGGGGGGGGGGGGGGGGGGGGGGGGGGGGGGGGGGGGGGGGGGGGGGGGGGGGGGGGGGGGGGGGGGGGGGGGGGGGGGGGGGGGGGGGGGGGGGGGGGGGGGGGGGGGGGGGGGGGGGGGGGGGGGGGGGGGGGGGGGGGGGGGGGGGGGGGGGGGGGGGGGGGGGGGGGGGGGGGGGGGGGGGGGGGGGGGGGGGGGGGGGGGGGGGGGGGGGGGGGGGGGGGGGGGGGGGGGGGGGGGGGGGGGGGGGGGGGGGGGGGGGGGGGGGGGGGGGGGGGGGGGGGGGGGGGGGGGGGGGGGGGGGGGGGGGGGGGGGGGGGGGGGGGGGGGGGGGGGGGGGGGGGGGGGGGGGGGGGGGGGGGGGGGGGGGGGGGGGGGGGGGGGGGGGGGGGGGGGGGGGGGGGGGGGGGGGGGGGGGGGGGGGGGGGGGGGGGGGGGGGGGGGGGGGGGGGGGGGGTGGTTTCTCTTGCAATATTTTCTCCAGGACAATTGTAGCTTGGTGGTTTTTTTGCAGCTTTTTTTTCCAGGCACGGTACTTTTGTTTAGCTCTGGTCGCCATGGGAGATTGCACTCTCCATGCAGACACTTTTGCTGGCTCTTTCCAAGAACGCTGTATTGGCTCCTCTTTGATTCCACTTGCCATGATCCTTGGTACGACATGGCCCCCCGTACAACAGACCTAAGCCTGACTGGGCCTCCTCATGTTTTTCTATGGGGCCTTCACCTCTTGGTCCTGGCCTCTGGTCAGCATTTTCATTCCTTGCACATAGCATAGGCTTCTCTCTGCTGGACCCTCTCAAGCCGTGACACATTCACATTTTTCACAACATGCTATTAGGTTTAAATGCAGCACCCAGCGTTGCTGGGTGACAACACCTCACCCCTCTCCCAGGTCACACGAGACATTGCTGCAGCTCTCTCCTTGCAGTCCGCAACATTTTGGCTTGCTTTCCTTTTAGGTTGGTTCAATGTTTCCCGAGGTGCCGCTTGCACCTGTCCACAGCAGACTCACCCACATCTAAATTTCCCGGCTTGTTTTGGATTACATTGCTGGGCATGCGGATATAACCCCCTAGCCACAGGGCTCTATCTCTCCCTTTCAGCAAACATTGCCCGTCCTTTTTTCTGTTTTGACCGCCCCATGCTTGTGCATTGTCCATGCACACAGCAGTGTGTTTAAACAGTTTCAGAACACACCCTTGGAACACTGTCTCTTTAAGGCAAAGTCCTTTTCTCTAGCAGGTTCTCTCACCTGCACACACAGATAGTGCAGACTTATGCACCAAACAGTTCATATAACTGATGAACTTACTTCAAAAATCGCCGGGATCTCCAATTCTGCCCGCATCCTCCACCATATGTGGGAACTCGCTTCAACGTGGTAGAGCTTTTAAACGCAAACAGCTACTCACTTTCTTTCAAGGCCTTTTTAGCCCACTTTTATTTAAATGAAAGTTCAAAACAGAAGTTTCCCACACAGGGGTATCCACCATCAAACAAAATTCAATGCTCTTCAGCCTCCTGGCTTACACTCAGCTTGATGTCTTGCCTCCTGCAGACTTCTTCAAGAAATTATGGCTCTTGCTCACAGCTGGCCACTAGCACACAGCTAGTCTCTAGCCCCTTGCTGCTTTTGGCTTCCACCTCTCCTAGGCGAAGCCCACCTGACTCCTATCTGCCGGGGTGGAGCCCAGAACCCTGGTCCTGGACTCTCTCTAAAAGGCCTGCACACACCTGTGCAATCAGTCTCCTGGCCTATCCCAAAACCTGGTCCCAGGATTGGAGATTTCATCCCTCCCAGATCTCTTTGAAATCTCCAGGCTCCAGATCCCAAAACAACAGACCTTACAAACAAAGGAGGGAAGGTGCTGAAAAAGCCACTTTCCTCCATATCAAACACTTACCCTGGAGCCCCTCAACCTGCCTAGTTGAGAATCCAGTGGTGACAGATCGCCACACTGTCACAATATATATATATACAGTCATGGCCGAAATTGTTGGCACCCTTGATATTTCTCCAGGAAATCATGTATTTCTCACGAAACGTATTGCATTAACACATGTTTTGCTATACACATGTTTATTCCCTTTGTGTGTATTGGGACAAAACAAAAAAAAGGGAGGAAAGAAAGCAAATTCGACATAATGTCACACAAACCTCCAAAAATGGGCTGGACAAAAGTATTGGCACCCTTTCACAACTGCGGATAAATAAGAATGTTACAAGCATGTGATGCTCCTGTAAACTCACCTGGGGCAAGTAACAGGTGTGGGCAATATAGAAATCACACCTGAAAGCAGATAAAAAGGAGAGACGTTCACTTAACCTTTGCATTGTGTGTGTCTGTCTGTGCCACACTAAGCATGGACAACAGAAAGAGGAGACGAGAACTGTCTGAGGACCTGAGAACCAAAATTGTGGCAAAATATCAACAATCTCAAGGTTACAAGTCCATCTCCAGAGAACTAGATTTGCCTTTGTCCACAGTGCGCAACATTATCAAGAAGTTTGCAACCCATGGCACTGTAGCTAATCTCCCTGGTCGTGGACGGATGATGAGGAAAATTGATGAAAGATTGCAACGCAGAATAGTCCGGATGGTGGATAAGCAGCCCCAAACATGTTCCAAAGACATTCAAGCTGTCCTGCAGGCTCAGGGAGCATCAGTGTCAGCGCGAACTATCCGTCGACATTTAAATGAAATGAAACGCTATGGCAGGAGACCCAGGAGGACCCCACTGCTGACACAGAGACATAAAAAAGCAAGACTACAGTTTGCCAAAATGTACTTGAGTAAGCCAAAAGCCTTCTGGGAAAACGTCTTGTGGACAGATGAGACCAAGATAGAGCTTTTCGGTAAAGCACATCATTCTACTGTTTACCGAAAACGGAATGAGGCCTACAAAGAACAAAACACAGTACCTACGGTAAAATATGGTGGAGGTTCAATGATGTTTTGGGGTTGTTTTGCTGCCTCTGGCACTGGGTGCCTTGACTGTGTGCAAGGCATCATGAAATCTGAGGATTACCAAAGGATTTTGGGTCGCACTGTAGGGCCCAGTGTCAGAAAGCTGGGTTTGCGTCCAAGATCCTGGGTCTTCCAGCAGGACAATGACCCCAAACATACGTCAAAAAGCACTCAGAAATGGGATGGCAAAGAAGCGCTGGAGAGTTCTGAAGTGGCCAGCAATGAGCCCAGATCTAAATCCCATTGAACACCTGTGGAGAGATCTTAAAATTGCTGTTGGGAAAAGGTGTCCTTCCAATAAGAGAGACCTGGAGCTGTTTGCAAAGGAAGAGTGGTCCAAAATTCCGGGTGAGAGGTGTCAGAAGCTTATTGATGGTTATAGGAAGCGACTGATTTCAGTTATGTTTTCCAAAGGGTGTGCAACCAAATATTAAGTTAAGGGTGCCAATACTTTTGTCCAGCCCATTTTTGGGGTTTTGTGTGACATTATGTCATATCCATGTATATATATACTGTGAGATTCCCCTCCCCCCTTGGTCCATGTATATATATACTGTGAGATTTCCCCTCCCCCCTTGGTCCATGTATATACATATACTGTCAGGTCCATAAATATTGGGACATCGACACAATTCTAACATTTTTTTGGCTCTATACACCACACAATGGATTTGAAATGAAACAAACAAGATGTGCTTTAACTGCAGACTGTCAGCTTTAATTTGAGGGTATTTACATCCAAATCAGGTGAACGGTGTAGGAATTACAACAGTTTGCATATGTGCCTCCCACTTGTTAAGGACCAAAAGTAATGGGACAGAATAATAATCATAAATCAAACTTTCACTTTTTAATACTTGGTTGCAAATCCTTTGCAGTCAATGACAGCCTGAAGTGTGGAACGCATAGACATCACCAGACGCTGGGTGTCATCCCTGGTGATGCTCTGCCAGGCCTCTACTGCAACTGTCTTCAGTTCCTGCTTGTTCTTGGGGCATTTTCCCTTCAGTTTTGTCTTCAGCAAGTGAAATGCTCAATCGGATTCAGGTCAGGTGATGGACTTGGCCATTGCAGAACATTCCACTTCTTTCCCTTATAAAACTCTTTGGTTGCTTTTGCAGTCTGCTTTGGGTCATTGTCCATCTGCACTGTGAAGCGTCCAATGAGTTGTGAAGCATTTGGCTGAATATGAGCCGATAATATTCCCGAAACACTTCACAATTCATCCGGCTGCTTTTGTCAGCAGTCACATCATCAATAAATACAAGAGAAGCAGTTCCATTGGCAGCCATACATGCCCACGCCATGACACTACCACCACCATGATCACTGATGAGGTGGTATGCTGAGGACCATGAGCAGTTCCTTTCCTCTCCATACTCTTCTCTTCCCATCACTCTGGTACAAGTTGATGTCGGTCTCATCTGTCCATAGGATGTTGTTCCAGAACTGTGAAGGCTTTTTTAGATGTTGTTTTTGGCAAACTCTAATCTGGCCTTCCTGTGTTTGAGGCTCACCAATGGTTTCCATCTTGTGGTGAACCCTCTGTATTCACTCTGGTGAAGTCTTCTCTTGATTGGTGACTTTGACACACATACACCTACCTCCTGGAGGGTGTTCTTGATCTGGCCAACTGTTGTGAAGGGTGTTTTCTTCACCAGGGAAAGAATTCTTCGCTCATCCACCACAGTTGTTTTCCGTGGTCTTCCGGGTCTTTTGGTGTTGCTGAGCTCACCGGTGCATTCCTTCTTTTTAAGAATGTTCCAAACAGTTGTTTTGGCCACGCCTAATGTTTTTTCCTATCTCTCTGATGGGTTTGTTTTGTTTTTTCAGCCTAATGATGGCTTCACTGATAGTGACAGCTCTTTGGATCTCATCTTGAGAGTTGACAGCAACAGATTCCAAATGCAAATAGCACACTTGAAATGAACTCTGGACCTTTTATCTGTTCATTGTAATTGGGATTAATGAGGGAATAACACACACCTGCCCACGGCACAGCTGAGAAGCCAATTGTCCCATTACTTTTGGTCCCTAACAAGTGGGAGGCACATATGCAAACTGTTGTAATTCCTACACCGTTCACTTGATTTGGATGTAAATACCCTCAAATTAAAGCTGACAGTCTGCAGTTAAAGCACATCTTGTTTGTTTCATTTCAAATCCATTGTGGTGGTGTATAGAGCCAAAAATGTTAGAATTGTGTCGATGTCCCAATATTTATCGACCTGACTGTATATACTGTGAGATTCCCCTCCCCCTTGGTCCATGTATATATATACTGTGAGATTCCCCTCCCCCCTTGGTCCATGTATATATATATACTATACTGTGTGTATATATACTGTGAGATTCCCCTCCCCCCTTGGTCCATGTATATATATATATGTGTGAGATTGAGATTACCCCTCCCCCCTTGGTCCATGTATATATATATACCTGTGGGATTCCCCTCCCCCCTTGGACCCTGTATATATACTGCGGTCTCGGTTGAAGCGGTTATACCGGGTCTCGGTTGAGGTTACCCATGATCCCAGATACATTTTTTTTGTGTTTTTTTTTGACTTTCATGTAGAAATAATCCGGGAGGCTTTACTTTTCCGGGTGATGGAAGGGGGTCCCCCCCCCCCCAACGTTGCCCCTTATACCAGGCCCCCCCAAGCGATCAAGGAGCCCAATAAGGATGTGACTGGCGGCCATCTTGCCCCGGCGCACAGTGAGAGGAAATGAAGTTGCTCCTCCCACTGTGTGATGTCACATCCCGGAACATCCAGGATTTAGTCCCTTCCGGTTCCGGCTCTTTGTTTTCTGGCCGGCTACCGCCCAGCGAAGCGACAATCAGAACGATCTCTGTCTGATTGGCTGCACTGGAGCCTAAAGGAGAGATGGGGGTTCTAATAGACACCCCTCCCCCCCCCAAACTCTCCATACAGAGAGGACCTGTCACTGCCTATTGCTGTCACAAGGGATGTTTACATTTCTTGTGACAGCAATAAAAATGGTCTGCTGGCCGGCCAATGGGAATACCTGTGTGATGTGCCCCTCCCTTCCCCCACAAGAGGGACCCCTCCAGGATGCCATCGGTGAGGAGAAAGACCCGGCTCTGGATGATCACACCACTGCGGCTACAGGTAAGTGACAACCAATGGGGGTTTACAGAGAGTTTTTGTTAGAGGGGGGAGGGGGGGGGTTGGGATTTCCCCTTTATTATCATGTTTGTGTCAGTATTTATCATAGATGGGGGACCCTCTATGGAGACATTCTTATACTGGAGATGTCTTCATAAACCCTCATTAGATATGCGCTTCAAAGGCTCCTCCCATCCAGGATAATAGTGACACAAAGGTGGTAATAATTCATTCCATGATGGCCGTGGTCGGATGAGTATCCCGGAGGATCCCGGCCATACCCATAATTCAGTGTGTGGAAAGTCTGACATCGAACTAATCCTATCGGTTTACTGGCTTTTCCACAGTGAATTATGGGTATGGTTGGTGACTCCGGGATACTCATCCGACCACGGCCATCATGGAATGAATTATTATCACCTTTGTGTCACTATTTATCCTGGATGGGAGGAGCCTTTGAAGAAGCGCATATCTAATGAGGGTTTCTGAAGACATCCTTAAAGCAGAAGTAATTCCGATGACGGAACAGTTTCTTCACAATGAATGATGTGTATGATTGGCTACTCCGAGGTCCTCATTCCAACCACGGCCTTCATTGAATGAATTATTACCACCTTTGTGTCACTATCTAGCATGGGTGGGAGGAGCCAATCCTCCAATTATTCAATAATTGTAATAATGACAACGATAATGATAATAATAATCCTAATATTAATGGCAATAACAATATTAACCCCCCCCCTCCAGAGGATTCCCCCTCTTCCTGACCAGACCATTTGTTGCATTACGGCGCTGCTTTACTTTTTAACTGACAATTGCGCGGTCATGCAGTCATGCAATGCTGCAGCTAAATGACATTTACGTCTTTT